CTTAACAAAGGCCTTAGCCAACCAACCTGGAAATCGGAAGGAGCTCTGAACTTGGAACGGACCTCTGCGTTTTCCCAAGTTGGGGTGAGAGGGTTGGGCCCTTTTAGCCCCACATCAGTCGATCACTGGATATGGACTTTCCTGGGAAGGGGCATGACCTTGGTTGAGATGTTTCTTCAGCTGGGGTGACTTCACTGTGGGCAGCTGAGGGCTGCCTTCTGGCAGAACTCCCAGCAGCAGGAAGTAATCCTTCAGGCCTGAAGGGGGGAACTGGGCACAGTAGCACCTACCATAGCCTGTGGTGCCCTTTCCTCATTTGTTTATCTGGCAAATATCTACTCACATTTCAAGATCCAGCCCGGACTTCTTCTCCATGATGCTTCGCTTGACCTTCTTCTTGTCACTCAGTAGCATGGATCACTCCCTCCTTTGTACTCACTGTACTTTCTGTATTCTTCTGTCCTTGCCCTGTACACCCTGTCTGTGTTTGTAACAGCACACTCTGCGTGAGTGCCTCTAACAGTGTCATGGGATCAGGGTGTAGAGTATGGCCACCAACACTCATGATAACCATGAGTCAGTAAGAAAAGGCAGGGCAAATGAGTAATCCTGTTGCTTAAAATGCCCATGGAAAACAATAAAAGGAAAAAGTTCAGATGCTACAGGATGAAATCTTCACCTATTTGTAACCCCTTCATTTACGTTAAATCTGTTTCATATATGTATCCACTAGATCTTTCAAGATGTTTACAAATTCTGCAGAATCTGCCCGAAACATATATTACTGATTTTATTCTAATCCAGCAAGAAAGAGAGGGTTGTTTACAGAACATGATATAAAACCTGAAGGATGAACACTAAATTGTTGGCTTTGGGAGTTTCTAGAACCTCGTTCAATACACTGAAATCTCTTTCATAGTAAACACAACATGACAACCTCTAGTATTCCAGAAAATTCTCCTCTTGCCCTTTTCCCCCCCTACCCTGCAAAGTCATTTTATTGAAACTCCCTCAAGTTACTGAGAACCCAGCCATATTAAGGAATCGAAAAGAAGCCTAGGGTAGCTCATCAGTTTTGGTTAAAACTTTGGAATCCACAGCAGAATTCTTTTAGGGAGATAAGTACGAATCTGTGGTTCTAATTGTTAGTACCGTTCATCAACCACCTCATTCACATATTGGTTATGACCTTGTATAGGTGAGACACTTCTCAGAGTCCATCTGAATCCTGTATTTTGCTGTTTGAATTTTTCCAAAATAAGGAAGTGAAAGTATATTTCATATAGTAAGTACCTTGGCATGTTCTTCTATACCATGTGATAGGCACTGTAATACCATCTGTCTTGAAATGGCCTTATGATGACATATTAATGCTTCCAAAGCCTTTTTAAGTCCCTAGAGTGCTGTCTTGTAAATGCAGTGCTGTATTATTTAGAGTAGGACTTTCTAAAGGCGAACAGTGCTCCTTGGAGTTAAAGAATGTTTGGTCTAAGTTGCATAGTACATAAAACAACAAAATGTTTTCCCATTTCAAAGTCTGAAACACTGTAATCTCCATACACCATGTAGGTATTCTGACACATTTCTCCTTGGGGACCCTGGTTTTTGCACAGATGTTTGCCATCACAGGTGAGGCAGTATTGTGTAACAGCAGTTTCCTGAGTTACACAATATGTAACTATGAAAACAATGTGCCACACAGCAGTTTGCTTAATATAGAAGAGTTCAGAAAAGGGCTGCTGGGAAATTCCAGACCTTCACAGTTCTACCTTCCTCTGTGATTCTCTTGATTTTCATTTAATCTATCCTCCTTGTGCGTAACTGTTGCTGTTGGGCAGACTTCCCTGTTGTGCTGAGTGAATCTGAGCCCCTCCTCTCCCACGTGTGTGTGTGTGTGTGTGTGTGTAAATTTGTTATTTATGCTAACTCCCCCACCTTTCCCCACCCCTTTCCACTAATAGTGATTTTTATCATCTTAATTCTCATGATTAGGAGATATGGATCAACATAATTCCTTCCTAATATCTACATGCCTCTGAAAGGAAGGATTTGACAATTGCACGCAACTGATCAAATTCATGCACATAATAGCATAATAAAAAGAATTTCTTAAATTTTAAGAAAGGTGTAGCCAGAGAACATAGGAAGGACGTTTGGCACCATTGAGAACTTAGTCAACAGTTGGAGGGACCAGCAAGTCTTCAGGGTTAGGTAAATCAGAAAAGCCTTCAAGTCTGTAGACCTGGAGGAACCTGTGGTACCTTTTGTGTCCCCGAGAGCCAGGAGGCCCCACGTGGCCTGTGCAGATGCTTCACGAGATGCCATCAGAATTCCCCTGCCCGCATTCGACTTCACTGTACCTGTGAGGCTGACAGCTCTGTGGGGTTCAAGTTAGACTGTGTCTTCAAGCTGGGTACCCAACTAAGCCTTCAGCTGGGGCAGCTGGGGATTGGGGGCAAGAATATGAGTGGAGGCCCATGTATCAAGTTATACATCAAACTGCTAAATAAAATGCATCTTCCTTCCTTGACAAGTACACCTTCATAACAACCCAGAAGGCTACATTCAATATAAGTTTCTCAAACTCCTTGGGTTCTGTGCCAGCACGTGGTGGCTTGTGGAAAGCCAGCTCCTTCGTCCGTACCTCCCTCCTCTTCCCATCCCTGGCTCTATCCTTGTCCCTCATGCCCATGCATGAGGGTAGATACTGCAGCCTACACATCCAAGCCATCCACATTCGCAGAAAACAGCTGCTCCTTGGACACCCCTGGGTGTAGGGGTGTGTGCCTGACGGTGCAGCCTGCCTTCAGGAATGAACCTGGAGAAGCATCCAGCGTAGGACTTGGAGGCAGGCTTGGGGCCCCTTCGGCAGAGGCTTCCAGTGTTCTCCATCTGCGGCACGGTCTGGAGGAGAGGGCATGGGCCCTGGAAGGGCCCGTCCTCCTGGCCCATAGACCCCACCTCTAATGGCAGCGAGGCCTCCAAAGTCCAATCCCTGCTCCATGGATTTGTGTCATTTAAGTCACACATACACTGTTAGTCATTGAGGGTCTGTCTTCATCGCAGTGGTGCATCACTTCCACATTTCATTAAGTTAGATGAAATAACATTGGTTGTGCCATCCCAACCCCTTAACCCGTGTTGCATCCTTGCTAAGAGAATTCTTGGAGATAAAACTTCAGAGGCGGGTAATGTAATTGACTTTACACAGCAGCTTTGATGTATCCTCAACTTGGCTGTACCCATTTATTCATTGTCAGTTGATTTAAGCTGTTAGAACCAACTTTGGTGGTGGGAGTTCTGGAGAGTAGTTTTAATTCGCTTCTCTTGCAAGTTTGGTTTTCAGAAAGTTTATTGTTTTTCTTTTCCTTGAATAGAGCAGTCTGTTCAAGCCAGCTTGCCTAATAGCAGCAGCATCCAGAGACGGCAGAGTGCAGCAGGCAGTAGGGATCCCAGCGAGCCAGGGCTGGTGGGACTGCCCCATTAGCCTTCTAACACCTCTTTGGCCTGCCCCCTTCCCAGGACCTAGTTTGCAGCCATCTTTGCTGTTAGTGGAGCCACAAAAGCTTAGAGCGGCAGGAGCATTCCCCATGTGTGGTATTTTAATCTCTTAACCTCTGCGTTTCCCTTGTCTTTCTTCCAAAGAACTGTCACCGCAAGCAGCCCCATCTCCTACCACTGGAAGTAGCAGAGGGTTCAGCTAACTGCACACAAATGATGGAGTTCGTACATGTTTTCACATTGTTCAAAAAAGGCAAACTTCACTTTTAAGGATGTGGCGCAGAAGTGGGGCAGCTGAAGGTGCTGTGAAGAACTTTGTCTCCGCTAGAGAAGCTTGCGCATTTAGGAAGCTTGAGAAATTTTGAGAGGCTCTTATTTGCTCACTTTTGGGGCAGTGGAGCATAGTGGTTCAGAGCACGTGGTCAGGTGCCGGATTCCTACACTTAAAACCTCGCTCTAGCACTTACTAGCGAGACCTTGGGCAAGTTATTTAAACTATCTGTGCCTCAATTCCTCATCTGAAAAAGGTAAATAGTCGTTGTGCATACTCACATGTTAATACACGCATAGCATTTAGGACAGTGCTTGGCACCTTGTAAATGGCAGTAAATGAATCTTTATTATCTTGTAGGATGGACGTGTGATATTTCCACATTCCACCTAAAATGTGAGGGTTCAGACGGATTAATAATTTTTAATAGCACTGGAAAATACAAGTTTTCTCCATTGTCATTACCTCCTTGATTTTAGTACATATTACAAAGAGGGTGCGTGTCCTGTTCTTGGCCCTCACTGTGGACCAGATGTTGTCTCCAGTACCTTGGTGCTACCATCATCTTATGGTCCTGGCCTGTGGCCTCAGACCAGCCCACTGCTACTCATCCCTCTTGTCAGGGGGGTGGGGACTCTTGCAACCCCTCCTCCTGCGAGCAGCTTCTTTCATGCCTCCTGGAAACGGACCAAGTGCTTTATAAGATTGCAGTGCAAAATCTGGGGTGTTCCTCTCCTGTCTCTTCCACTCGAGTTAAATAAATACCAGTTGAATGAATGAATGAGTGAGTGAACCTTTCCTTATTGAATGGCTGTGGCTGTTGAATGGAGATGCTTTCATATTTCTGCCCTCTGTCAGCCCAACCGAACCTCTCCGGAGCAGGTTTCTCTGTCTTGGATTACTTAGTGGGTCTCATCCAGTTCGACATGATACCACCTCAAGATTCCACGTTCTCAGGGTCATTACCTATTAACTTGGTCTCCATCCATACAGCGAAATGTGTGTAGATCCCAGTGTAAGAAAGACAAAATGTATCATCGCATCTTTCTTCTGAGTCACCCTGGAATCACAAAAACGCCCAGCAGGAGGAAGCACTCCCCTGATCTCTGTCCCTTTGAAAATGACTTGGGCCTGGAGAATTCACATCTAACTGCAAGGAAAAACCAATGCATTAATAACTTAATATTAACGGGGATGGAGGTATAATATGTAACAAATTTTCTTTCAGTCACGGAAGATCTTATTAGACGGAATGCCGAGCACAATGACTGTATAATTTTTTCCCTGGAGGAGCTCTCCTTGCATCAGCAAGAAATAGAAAGACTAGAACATATTGACAAGTGGTGCCGGGATTTAAAAATCCTCTATCTTCAAAATAATCTCATTGGAAAAATTGGTAAGTCTTCAGGACTTTGTCCTTATGGTTTCTTTAACATTTTGAATGGGAGAATGTTGGCAAATGCAGTGTTATTCTTAGAGGAAGAAAAAGAATTACATGGAGGAATAGACACAGCCATCTCTCAGTAGCTGTGTATGGAACCCTTCCCTGAACCTTTTCGTGCCTTTTCCATCTCCTTGCCCTGGGCATCTCCACCAAGGAATTGGGAGGACCAGTTGATGGCTGGGAGCACATTAGTTGATGTAGTCATTTAAAACCTGATTTTTAAAAAGTTTAAAAGAGAGGCGGATATAATCCAGGCGTTTGTCATGGTTTTACAGCATCACTCTGTGAACCTGAAAGGATTCTGTGAGAGCCGAGTAAATCCTTGTCAGATCCCAGCCTGTGATAACTAGGTCTGCCGTACATATTGAGAATGTACATGTGCAAGGCATTATGCTCAGTATTGGATATCGAGAGGGCTCCACAATTACACCCCTGCTTACTGCTCCAGTATGGAATGAAATGAGAGGTAAAAACAGGAGTCAGGAGGATGGAGATCCAAAAATCAGCATTATAACTGATAAAAACTCTTTGGAGAGTGTGGCTTAGACTTGCAGCCAAGTGAGATTCCTAATATGCCCCCAGAATTAAGCCTACCCACCACCCACTTACATGCAGAACTGGACAATGCAGGCTTCCCCTACCCACGCAGGCCCCCTGCTTTATGGCGGGAGCGGGTTGAGACTGTGTGCCCTCTGCCGGCGGGGAGATCCCAGACCCAGGAGAGAGGGTGGGATTGGGCATGCCCAGTTTCTTCTCCCAGTTCACCCATGAGGTAAGTGGGTCCTCCCCATCCAATTGCCACCTCCTCCCTCGGGAAGAATGAGTTAAGGGGACAGAGAGAAGAGAGGCCTGTGGAGACACTCTAACAGGGGATCCTGCCACATGGAAGCAGGAGGAGTGACCCCCAAACCTCAGAAAAGCTACAGTGTAGTTTAGTGGTAAGAGCAGGTGCAGGCCCTAATGTCAGGTAGACCCAGGTTTGAACCCTGCCTCTGCAAAAAACTAAGTCAATCAACTTAGTCCCTCTGTGCCTTAGTCTTGCCATCTGTAAAATGGGAACAACAACATCTAACACACAGACATGATATTAGAGCTACATGGAACGACGTTCTTAGCTTTATGCCTGCTCATGAGAAAATAGCTGCTCTGCTATTAATATCGTCACTTACCCAGGGGCCCCAGGCCAGCCCCGCAGAGGTAGAAGCAGAGGGGAGAACCACACAGAGTTGGCGGAAAAGGGATGGAGTCAGGGTTGATGAGGCAGAGTGAGTGCCAGCCCCTGTGGGTTCTGACACTACAGCCCAGAGGTCGGCTCGTAAGATTATACTTTAACTCTCCACGGTCACAAGCGGCGGTTCTCAACAGGGCCACTTGGCAATGTCTAGAGACATATCTGGTTGTTGC